TAACTTGGGAGGTTTTTTTTTTTCTTTTTCTTTTTTGGTTGAAGCCCAGCCGGCTCCGGCGGCGCCCGGGAGCGCTGCCCCTCCCCCGTCCCGGGGCCCACTGTCAGCGTAGCGACCCCGCCCCGCCCCCCCAACCTCCTCCTCTTCCTCCTCCTCCTCTTCCTCCTCCTTCGGCTCCTGCCCCTCCCCCTTCAAACCCGATTGGTTTTCCTCGGCATCTGTTCTGCCGGGAACGCCCCTTCTCCTAGGAGACAGTTGCCCTGGCCCCTCCCGCAATCTCACTCCAGCTTGGTGCGCGGGTTCCGGCCCCTTGGGGGGCCCACTCCGGGCCTAGCGATTTACACCCATCTTCACACTCCAGCCAGCCCGCAGGTTTTCTCCCTAGTAGCCAGCCACCCACCCTCTCCCTGGGGAGGGAAGCTCCCGCCGCACCGCGCCCCCCCCACCTGCCTACCAGCAATCCCACTCGACTCCCTCCCTCCCCCTTCCCTGGAGGTCGCGCTCAGCCTCTCCTATCTCCTCCCTACTTTGGCAGGACAGTTGCTGTGCGACTTGGACAGTAGAGGAGCGCCTCCAAAGTTTTCATCCAACTGCTACCCCCAAAGCTTCCACCCTCCTCCCCTGAGAGGACGTTTGATGCCGGGCCCCTGAGATTCTCATTGACAAGCCCCTCTGGGTCCCCCTGAGCAGAGCCTGCTGACCCAATTGCCCACCTTTGCGGCTTTGATGCCTAGCCATGTCTGCCTCATCCTCAGGCGGCTCCCCCAGGTACTGCCAATGTGTGGGGAGCCTCTGCAGTAGGGCAGGGAAAAGATGGTCAGGGGTCCCCAGGCCAGGCTTGCTGGAAGCTTTGTTTACCAGTTTTGTATACCGGCAGTTTTGACTAGATACTTAGAAAAAAAAGTTTTGAAAGGATAGTAGGAAAGAAATGGCCACACATCACCCCAGCTCCTCTGCCTCCTCTCTCTGCCTCCCCAGATGCCACTGCTTCCTGGTATCAAATGGGGGTCACTCTTGTCTTAAGGCAGTACTAAACTCTGAGCCTTTTTTGATAGGAAGCCGGGTGTAAATAAATGCACATGGTGCCTGAGGTGGATGTGCAGTTAGCAAGGTGTTGGCGGTTTCAGGGGCTTTGATGGCTTTAGTGAAAACAGCTCCTAGAAATGAGAAGGGAAAATGCCTAAGTTCCTAGCTTTCTTATTCCTTGGCTAAGTGACTATAGTAGGGTTTTTCTGAATCTTTTTTTTTTAAGTTAAGGCTTTATACACATAGCAAAATACTTATGAAAGTGCTCATTTATTGTGTTTGTAGGATTTTCCCCAAGAATTTTTGCGGAGGAAAGGTAATTTTTTTAAGCCATCAGGAGACAGTGGTAGGGACTGATTTTTTTTTTTTTGGTCATGGGGCATGAACTCTGGGCCTGGGCACTGTCCCTCATCTCTTCAACTCAAGGCTAGTGTTCTACCACTGGAGCCACAGTGCCACTTGCGGTATTTTCTGCTTATGTGGTGCTGAGGAATGGAACTCAGGGTCTCATGCATGCGAGGCAAGCACTCTAACACTGAGCCACCTTCCCAGCCCAGGATTGATTATTAAGGCTCCTCCCATCTAGAATTTTTGGAGATTGGACTTCTGCTATCTGTAGATGCTATCTGTAGATGTGAACAAGATGCATTGCACATAAAAGAAAAAAGATGTTCCTACTTCTTGGGTCCTTAAGTGATAGCAAGTGAAATATTTGAGGAAGTAGGTACTTTTCATGTTCTTTTTATTTTTTTGTCAGTCATGGGGCTTGAACTCTGGGCCTGGGAGCTGTCCCTCAGCACTTCAGCTCAAGACTAGTGCTTTACCACTTTGAGCCACAGCACCACTTCTGGTTTTCTGGTGGTTAATTAAAGAGTCTCATGGACTTTATTGCCTGGGCTGGCTTTGAACCGCAATCCTGAGATCTCAGCCTCTTTAACTAGGATTACAGGTGTGAGCCACTGGTGCCCGGCTCTTTTTCATGCTCTTAAAGGAATACTTGAGCCTTAATTTTATGAGTTTGAATTACAGTGATTTTGTTCCTGAGCAAAATGCTTTGTCTCTTTGTGTTAGCCATTGATTTCTCTGGAGCTACCTATGCTTCAGGCATCCTAGTGTGGATGGCTGTTACCTCATCCAAACTAGCATCTTGGCTGCTGCTTGTGTCCTGCCTGCTTTTTGTCCCTTGACAGGATAATAGGTAGGGCTTTTCAGCTAAAGGTCACAATACATGTGATGCGATGGCAGGTTAAAAGGCCACCTGTGCCAAATGCCCCTCACCCTGTTTCCATCTCTTCCTGGGCACAACATGCGAGCCACGTGCTCGTCTACAGGAAGCCAAGGAATACCAGCCTGGTCCTCCTGGCTGTGAACTTGTTAGTACTACCCGCAGTACGTAATCTCCAGAGAGCTAAGAAATAGAAGAGCTCTTGTTTTCTGTTTATAACACAGTTCTTATGCCCGGGTGCAGGTTTCCATCGTGTGGGAAGAACGGAGTAACGAGTCTCACGCAGAAAAAGGTCTTGAGAACACCTTGTGGCGCACCCAGTGTAACTGTGACGGTAGGTGATATGCATGTGCAGCAGCCCTCTCCAGCCTGGGCTCCACCAGAAATGCTTCTGCACGCTTTTGCTAGGGGCTGGCTGCACCATCAGGACCCAGACGCTCTGCACAGTGCTGCTATGTGTGTCCTGTTGATTTCTTAACTATTTTTCTTTCCCTGTGATAAAGCTGCCAGGTATGAGGAGGTTGTCTTAGCAACATTATCCTTTCAGAAAAATGCCCATGTTTTAAAAACATTTAAAAAAAGAAAGGAGGGCTGGGAAAGTGGTTCAGTGGAAGAGTGCTTGCCTCGCATGCATGAGGCCCTGGATTCGATTCCTCAGCACCACATAAGCAGAAAAAGCCGGAAGTGGCGCTGTGGCTCAAGTGGTAGAGCGCTATCCTTGAGCTGAAGAGCTGAGGGACAGTGCCCAGGCCCAGAGTTCAGGCCCCATGACTGACACACACACACACACACACACACACAAATGGAAAGAAAGAAACAAAATGAAGGGAAGGGATAGGAGCTGGTGGTGAGCAAGGGGTATGTGGCTGGAGTTCGGCCTGCTCATGGTTTCTTTAGAAATTTTACAACCTTCCCATCCTTGGCATTCCACCAGCCTTCTATTCCCACAGTCCTTTACCTGTCTGCTGACTGGTTTATTCTGCATCCTAACCCACTTGTGTATTTCCTGTGCTAATCTGCATGCCCGCTTAAAACCACTGTGTAGAAAGGTATACCTAATTTCCAGGTGCGCTACACTTAGGTCCATGGAAGAGCTGTGCTTTCTGGAAGCTTGGATGGAGATGCAACTGAGGACCCTGGGATTTGAGTTTGGTGTCTGGAGTAGAGCCTGTGGAGCTCTCAGACCCTCTCTCCAGTAAACGTAGGCCTCCCTGTGGTCTTTAGTTGTAATCTCTGTGGAACCTGCCAGATAATACTCCCGCCTTGGCCTCTGCCTGCATGCCAATAGTTGGTAGCTGTCCTGCTCGCTTGGTGGCTAGGCTTTCATTGTCCCCAGAGGCTATGAGCTCTATTTTCATTTCCAGTTTACTTATCCACAGATCAACCCTTTTTGTGTTGCCCTCCCCTGCCTGCCAGAAGCGAACCATGAAGGACCGCTCTTCAACTCCCCCCTTACATGTTCATGTGGATGAGAACACCCCTGTCCACGTCCACATTAAAAAACTCCCGAAACCATCAGCGACCAACAGCCAGGTAGGAGCACTGCCAATGGGTGAGATCACAGCTGTGGATCAGAGTTACTTCTGGCCCAGCATCCTCACGCTTCTGACTCCAGAGGTTTGAGAGACACGTTCTTTCTGGAGGTCACTGATTAGAAGGTAGGCATCTGTCATTGAGTAGTAGCAGCAGCAGCCTTAGTCATAGGAGGTGCCCCTGCAGAGTTGGAAGTGGAGCCACCAGAGTGACACTATGGACAGCGAGGGCTGGAGAGGTGACCCTTGGTTTGTACCTTTCCACAGAAATCTCATAAGCGCGGAATGAAAGGGGACACCGTGAACGTGCGGCGGAGTGTCCGGGTGAAAACCAAGGTACCTTGGATGCCCCCTGGAAAGTCATCTTCCCGGCATGTGGGATGCAAGTGGGAGGTAGGCTCATTCTTGTTCAGGCCTTTTTTCTTGGACTGGTCAGATTCTAGCAGGCCTCAAACTTGGTATGATTCAGGGTGGGCCATTTACCAAGAACTTCTAACCTTGGAGGTATGTGAATCCTCCCAGCACTGTTAGGTGGTAGGCACTTCTCTCTCAGCACAGACACAACACCTAGGCTTTCGAGAGAACTGATTGGCCTGGAGTCTCACAGAGAACATAACAGAACGAGAGTCAGGACTTGTGGTGTCTCATACTGGAAGTAAAGTCAGCCTCTGCTTACATATAAAGTGCCAGTATAGTTTTCCTTATATCTAAAACATTATTGAAGATAAATACACATACCAGCACATACATATCCAAGAAAGCAGTACCATAACAGACCATATGAGAATCCTATCAACACCACTTTTGGGCCAATCTCCTAGGAAATAATTACTTTCAGTGTAGCCAAGAGAACTTAATATTTTTGCTTGACTATCTGTTCACTCACCCACCCTTAAGAGTCATAACAGGCATTACTGGACACAGGTTATAGCTAGAAACCAGGCAGATGTGCCCCCTTAGACAACTTCCTAGTTTAGTTACTATGTGAAAACTCATTGATATAAGGCTAAAATAATTTTTTTTCCCTTGCCTGTACTAGTGCATAAACGCAGGATCTCTGGCCCTCACTTAGCTTTTTTTGCTCAAGTTGAAGCCACACTTCAATTCTCAGATCTCAGTCCTTCTATCATGCCTCCTGACTAATTGGGGTTATAGGTGTGGGCCACCAGCACCCAGTTTGACCATGTTTTGATCAATTTTCTTGGACACTGTTCCTGAGTTTCTTTTGCTCAAGGCTAGGGCTGAACATTTGAGCTACAGCTGCACTTCCAGCTTTTTCAGTGATTAATTGGAGGTCTCACTGACTTTCCTCCCTGGGCTGGCTTCCAACCCTTATTCTCAGATCTCAGCCTCCTGAGTGTCTAGTAGGATTGTAGGCATAAGCCACTGCCTCCTGGCAGAGATTTTCATACTGGGCTAGAGGCATGCCTCAAATGAGTTGAAACCCAGTATAACTCCCTCCCCCCCAAAAAAAAAAATCTCAAGAAAACCTTGGGCTTACTTTAAAACGATCACGCTTGCACTTTGTTAAAGATTCAGTCTTCTTGTAGTTAATTATGAGAAGTCCAAAAAGGAAATCATCCTGACATTTATGGTCACATTTTATAGTTTTGTACGCTGATTTGCCAATTAATCTCTGATTTACCAATTTATAAAAAAGTGTGTATAGGATATTTTTAAGAATAAATGGAAAGTGTTCTGACCAGTACAAGAAAGCACAAGAATGAGTGGGTTTTAGAACTGGAGTTCATACTTAGCCTTTGCGAGGCCCTGTCTCCAATTCCCAGCAACCTTCCCCACCAAAAAATTGGAATTAAAATGATCTCAGTAATAGCTACTGAAATTTCATTTGGTAGTATTGGATTTGAACTTGGGGCCTTTTGCTTATTAAGCAGGTGCTTTACTACTTAAGACACTCCCATCCCTTTTTGGGTAAAGTCTTGTGTTTTTGTTCTAGAACACTAGAAGCTAAGATCCTCCTACCTTTCTATGGCCTCCCAAGTACTGCCATCACAGCAGCCCACCACCACACCAGGCTTACTGCTTGAGAATGGGGAGGAGGGGCCTAAGGGGCCTGATTGAATTTTGATCCTTATATTCTGCCTTTGGAGTAGCTGGGATTATATGTGTGAGCCACTACTCCTAGCTTGAAATATTGATTGATTGCTGGTATGGGGAAGTGAACTCAGGGACACCAGCTTGCTCAGCTTGCTTTGCTTTCCTGGCTATCATTTACCACTTCAGCCATGTCTCTAGCCTGGCTTTTTGCTGATTGTTTTGGAGATGAAGTCTCACAGACTTTTCTTTTTTTGGTGGGAGGTGCTGGTTGTGGGGCCTGAATTCTGGGCCTGGGCGTGGACCTTCAGCTCTTCAGCTCAAGGCTAGTTTTTTACCACTTTAGCCACAGTGCCACCTCCAGCTTTTTCTGCTTATGTGGTTCTGAGGAATCAAACCCAGGGCCTCATGCATGCAAGGCAAGCACTCTACTACTGAGCTACCTTCCCAGCCTCTCACAGACTTTTCTACCTGAGCTAGCTGAGATTGTATGGATTTCAGTCTTCTGAGAAGAATTATAGCTGTGAACCACTGAAACCTAGGTGAAATATTTAAGAATAAATAGGGGAAGTGGTATTGTGGCTCAAGTGGTAGAGTGCTCATCTTGAACTGAGCCCAGGAACAGTACCCAGCCCTGAAGTTCAAGCAAGCCCCATGACTGATCAAAAAAAAAAAAAAATTGTAATAATTTGAGCCAGGTGCCAGTGGCTCACACCTATAATTGTAGCTACTCAGGAAGCTGAGATCTGAGGATCTCCGTTCAAAGCCAGCCCAAGCAGGAAAGTCTGTGAGACTCTTTGAGACACTTAACCACCAGAAAAACGGAAGTGACGCTGTGGCTCAAGTGGTAGAGCACTAGCCTTGAGCTTAAAAGCTAAGGGACAGCGCCCAGGCCCACAGTTCAAGCCCTACAACTGACAAAAAAAAAAAAGAAAAGATAGGGCTCTGAGTGTGGCTCAAGTGGTAGAACACATGCCTAAAAAGTAAGAGGTGGTGAGCTTAAACACCAGTACTGTTTAAATAAAAACAGGCTCACACCTATAATCCTAACTACTCAGGAGGCTGAGACCTGATGATCACAGTTCAAAGCCAACCCAGGCAGGAAAGTCCATGAGACTCTTTTTTTTTGGGGGGGGGAGGTCCGGTTGTGGGGCTTGAACTCTGGGCCTGGGCGCTGTCCCTCAGCTCTTCAGCTCAAGGCTAGCACTCTACCACTTGAGCCACTTTTGCTTATGTGGTGCTGAGGAATCAAACCCAGGGCCTCATGCATGCAAGGCAAGCACTCTACCACTGAGCCACCTTCCCAGCCCAGTCCATGAGACTCTTACCTCCTTCCAGAAAACTGGAAGCGGTGCTGTGGTCCAAGTGGTAGAACATTAGCTTGAGCTGAGGGAAAGCACCCAGGCCCTGAGTTCAGGCCCCATGACCCGACCAAAAAAAAAAAAAAAAAAATCCCCAATCCCCTTAAATACTAAAAAACAGTACTCACTTCAGCAGCACATATACTAAAATTGGGCAATATAAAAAAGATTGGCATGGCCCCTGTGTAAGGACATAATGTAAATTAGTGAAGCATTCTATTATAATAAATAGGTCAATCTGTTTTTTTCTATTGAATGGAAAAAAGTTTAGAGGATGACTATTATTTCAGGCATATGTAATAGTAAACATTTTTTGGTATTTTTCTTTTTCTTGGTCATGGGGCTTGAACTCAGGGCCTAGATATGCTGTTCCTGAGCTCTTTCATTGAAGGCTAGCACTGTGTACCACTTTGAGCCACAGTGCCACCGGTTTTCTGGTGGTTAATTGGAGATGAGTCTCTCAGACTTTCCAGCCTGGACTAGCTTTTAACCATGATCCTCCTGAGTAGCTAGGATTACAGGTGTGAGCCACTGACACCCAACTTCTGTGACTTTTGAAAGATAACTTCCTATATAAATTCCTATAGTACCCCATGTTGGGAGAGGTGCTGTCACACTAGAAAAATGTCAAAAAGGCTCAGGAGGCTGAGATCTGAGTATCCAGGCACAAAGCAAGCCTGGACCGGAAAGTCTGTGAGACTCCTGCCTCCAGTTAAGCACCAAAAAGTCAGAAGTGTTGCTGTGGCTCAAGAGGTGAAGTGCTAGCCTTGAGTAAAGTAGCTAAGGGATGGCCAGGCCTTGGTGGCTCACACTTTGTATTCTTAGCCAGTTCAGGCAGGGAAGTCTTATGAGATTCTCATCTCCAGTTAACCAGCTAAAAAGCCAGAAGTGAGTGTAATTGTGGCTCAAGTAGTAGAGCCTCAGGGACAGTGCCCAGGCCTTGAGTTCAAGCCCCAGTATTGGCACACAAAATAAGCCCCAATACCAGCACACACACACAAAAAGTCATAGAAGAAGCTGGGTGCTGGTGGCTAACGCTTGTAATCCTAACGACTCAGGAAGCTGAGATCTGAGGGTCAAGGTTCAAAGCCAGCCTGGGCAGGAAAGTCCATGAGACTCTTAGTTCCAATTAACCACCAGAAAACCGGAAGTGGCACTGTGGTTTAAGTGGTAGAGTGCTAGCCTTGAGCTGAAGAGCTGAGGGACAGCGCCGAAGCCCAGAGTTGAAGCCTCACAACCGACAAAAAAATTTAAAAATTATTGCTCAATAAAACTTCATAAGTAGGGCTGGGAAGGTGGCTCAGTGGTAGAGTGCTTGCCTTGCATGCATGAGGACCTGAGTTTGATTCCTCAGCACCACATAAACAGAAAAAGCTGAAATGGTGCTGTGGCTCAAGTGGTAGAGCACTAGCCTTGAGCTGAAGAGCTGAGGGACAGCACCCAGGCCCAGAGTTCAAGCCCCAGGACTGGCAAAAAAAAAAAAATCATAAGTAAATGTACCTGTATCAACTATGTCCTGCTTTCCTTTGCTTGTACCTGTTACTTGTCGCTCATGTTCATTTCCTGTAGTTTTTCCTTGTGCATGATTTCACTGTTTTTTGTGTGGTGCTGGGTATGAAACCAAACCCCTGTGAACGGTAGGCTACACCCTCAGACCATTTGTAATTATACTATTTTTCCTTTTTACCTGATCTTTTGTTAGGAATACTCTTAGCTTTAGTCAAAATAGCATCACATTGCTTAACACTCATTTTTGTGTAACTTTTTTTTTTTTTTTTGGTCAGTCATGGGGCCTGGGTGCTGTCCCTCAGCTCTTCAGCTCAAGGCTAGCGCTCTACCACTTGAGCCACAGCACCACTTCTGGCTTTTTCTGCTTATGTGGTGCTGAGGATTCGACCCAGGGCCTCATGCCTGTAAGGCAAGCACTGTACCACTGAGCTGCCACCTTCCCAGCCCTTTGTGTAACTTTTTTTGTGGTGTTGGAGATTGAATCGAGGTCTTGGTGGTTATTACACAGGGGCTTACTATTGAATAGCTGTCCTAGACCTCTGTAACATATTTTGACTATGATTACTTTGCCTTTTTTTTTTTTAGATGAGGTTTAGCTGTATTGCCTAGCCTTGGCCTTTGAACCATTTGGCTCAAGCAATCTTTTATGTCAGCTTTCAAATAGAGGGGATTGTAGATGTAGTTTTGGTATTCTTTTTTTTTCTTTTCCTGAAACAATGTCTCACTTGAATTCAGTAGCCTTCTGACACTTAACTCCTAAGTGCTAGGATGACAGCATACACCATTATGCCTGCCTTCATCTTAGTATTCTTCATGTGTGTGTGCGCTTGTGCGTGTGCGTGTGCGGGTTAAAAAAATTAAAAGTCTCATGGACTTTCCTACCTGGGCTGATCTCAGTTTTCTTAGTAACTAAGATTACAGTCATGAGCCACCAGTGCCTGGCTTCATCTTAGTTTTTTTTTTTTTTTGTCAGCCATGGGGCTTGAACTCTGGACCTGGGCGCTGTCCCTCAGCTCTTCAGCTCAAGGCAAGTGCTCTACCACTTGAGCTACACAGCATCATTTCTGGTTCTCTGATGGTTTATTGGCAATGAGAGTCTCATAGACTTTCTTGCCCGGGCTGACTTTGAACTGTGATCCTCAGATCTCAGCCTCCCGAGTAGTTAGAATTACAGGTGTGAACCACCGGCACTACCGGCGCCCGGCTTCATTTTAGTATTCTTAATCCCCAAAAATCCAATTACCAGGGACAAGAGAGCACCTGCTCTTAATTGAACCCCACGGGTCCTGACTATTTGATGTAATAGCTACATCATTATTAAACACTTTGCCCCAATGGCTCTAATCTCCCCTAGAAGCTGGAAGGCAGCCACCTCCAATTGTTAAGAGCAAAGAGCTACCAATAACAAGAAGTGATAGGGCATCAAAATAACATCATAGTGAGAGAGAAATCAAACCTCAGGAAAAATCTGGCCCCTAGATTTTCATCTTTCTTTCGTTTTTTTTTGTTTGTTTGTTGGTCATGGGGCTTAAACTCTGGGCCTGGGCACTGTCCCTCAGCTCTTCAGCTCAAGGCTAGCATTCTACCACTTGTTCTGAGTGGTTTATAGGAAATAAGAGTTTCACAGACTTTCCTGCCCTGGCTGGCTTTGAACCTCGATCCTCAGATCGCAGCCTCCTGAGTAGCTAGGATTACAGGTGTAAGCCACCAGCTCCCAGCTTAGAGCAGTAATCTTGAGTATAAAAGCTCAAGGACAGCACCCAGGCCCTGAGTTGCAGCCCGGGACAGGCACAAAAGAAACAAAAATAGCCTTAATGCAACATTTGTGTGTTTGTGTGTGTGTGTTGGTCCTGGGCCTTGAACTGTGGGCCTGAGCGCTGTCCCTCAGCTCTTCAGCTCAAGGCTAGCACTCTACCACTTGAGCTACAGCACCACTTCCAGTTTTCTGGTGGTTTATTAGAGATAAGAGTTTCATGGAGTTTCTTCCCCGGGCTGGCTTTGAACCGATCCTCAGATCTCAGCCTCCTGAGTAGGATTACAGGCATGAGCCACCGGCGACTGGCACATTAATGCAACTTTACATAAATTTGTGGAAGTACAGATGCATTAAAAAAATTAGTGATTTTTTTTTTCTGTGCGTGTCCTGGGGCTTGAATTTAGGGTATGAGCGCTATCCCTGAGTCATTATGCTCATGACTAGCATTCTTTACCACTTGGGCCACAGTTCTACTTTTTTTTTGTCCATTGTGGGGCTTGAACTCTGGGCTTGGGCGCCGTCTCTGTGCTCTTCAGCTCAAGGCGAGGGCTCTACTTAAACCATAGCACCACTTCTAGTTTTCTGGTGGTTTATTGGAGACAAGAGTCTCACACACTTTCCTGCCCAGGCTGGCTTTGAACAGTGATCCTCAGATCTCAGTCTCCTGAGTAGCTAGGATTACAGGTGTGAGCCACTGATGCCCAGCTTCTTTTTCTTTTTATAGTTTCTTGGAGATAATCTCACTGACATTCCTGCTCAGGCTGGCTTCAAACTATGATCCTCAGATCTCAGCATCTTTGACTAGCTAGGACGAGTGTTTAAAGCAGCCCAGTTAGAGAGCTTCACGAGAGAAGTAGCTCAAGTTGTAGAATACCATTCGTGAATCAAAAAGTTAAGGGACAGTGTCCAGGCCCCGAGTTCAAGTCTCTTCCCACCACGTACCAACACACAAAAATTTAAAAAAAATCTTTTTTTAAGAGTGCCTTACTTTGTTACCCAGATCTGGAGCTTGCTGTTATGTAATTCAGACTGACCTTGAATCTGTGGTCCCCTTTGGCCTCCTGAGTGCTGGGATGACAGATGTGTACCCCACTATGCCTGGCTATGTATTGCAGATATTACTGTAGTTCCCTTGCCTTCTCCTTCCTTGTCTCCTTCATTTTCCTCACCTTTCCCTTCATTTTCTTCCTTTCCTCTTTTTGAGATAGGAATCTGACCGTGTTGCCTGGGCCAGTCCCAACCCCTGGGCTGACGCTGTCCTCGCATCAGTTCTCCCGTGACTGCAGGCCTGCACCTGGCGGGCTTTATTTTTTAACTTAACATTCTGACCCAATCCTCCTCTTTCAATGTTGGGAATTGTTCAGAAGCCTCCTTTAGACATGAGGTAGTATTCCCTAAAGAGAGTCTAGAATGGTGGTCTTCCCGGGAGGGGTTCCTTACTCTTCCCACCTCAGCAGTCTGCAATCTTCCAGTGGACAGACTGCTGCCATGGAACTCCAGGCTGGGGCTCGGCCCTGGGTGCTCACCTGTGTCTCCCTCCTGTATATTAGAATCCACCTCATTGCCTGGAGATCACACCACCATCTTCGGAAAAGCTAGTCTCGGTGATGCGGCTGAGTGACCTTTCCACAGAAGATGACGACTCTGGTCACTGTAAAATGAACCGTTATGATAAGAAGATTGACAGTCTAATGAACGCGGTTGGTTGTCTCAAATCTGAGGTAAGAGACCTAAGAGAGTACTATGGCCCAGGCAGGTCCTCAGGGGGACAGGTCACTCTCAGCAAGCCTGTCCAGGTCGTTAGAGGTCCTCTATCCAGGGGAGGGCCCCATCTACTGGCACTTCCCTTGTGTGGGGCTGATTTTGACTGAGTACTTTTTTTTTTTTTGTCAGTCATGGGGCTTGAACTCAGGGTCTGGACACTGTCCCTGAGATCAAGGCTAGCACCACTTTGAGCCACAGTGCCACTTCCGGTTTTCTGGTGGTTAATTGGAGATAAGAGTCTCACAGACCATTCTACTCAGGTTGGCTGTGAACCATGAACCTCAGATCTCAGTCTCCTGAGTTTCAAGGATTACAGGCATGAGCCACTGGTATCTGGTTTAAGTTCTTACTTTTTTGGATTGATTATAATCCTCCTAGTTAGGCTTTTCGTGTGGCCTCTGCATGACTACACTACACTGCTCAGTTTTTTTGGTTATTTGTTTTGTACAAGTCCTCAGGTTTGAACTCAGGGCCTGGATGTGGTCCCTGAGCTTCCCTTGCTTGAGGTTAGTGCTCTACCACTTTGAGCCACAGTACTGTTTCTGGGATTTTTGGTAGTTTAATGGGAGATAAGAGTCTCATAGACTTTTCTGTTCAGGTTGGCTTTGAACTGTGATCCTCAGATCTCAGCCTCCTGAGTAGCTGGGATCACAGGTGTCAGCCACCAGCGCCTGGTGATGTGATCAGTGTTTTTAATGGATTGAGATGGGGGTCTCATGAAGTTTTTTTAATGGATTGAGATGGGGGTCTCATGAAGTTTTTGCCCAGCGTATACTCAAACCACAATCTTCTCTGCCTCCCAAGTAGTTAGTATCACTGCTCCAAGCCTCAGTTCTCCTTTTGTATTTTGTTTTTTCCCAGTACTGAGGCTTCAATTTGGGCCTTGTGCTGCTCAGCTTGCTTACTTAAGGCTGGTGCTTGAGCTGTGTCTCCAGTTTAGCTTTTCGTTGGTTAGTTGGAGATAAGTTTCAGGGGCTTTTCTGCCATGACTGACTTTGAATCACAAACCTCCAGGTATAGCTGGGCACCAGTGGCTCACGCCTGTAATCCTAGCTGCTCGGGAAGATAAGATCTGAAGATCATGATTCAAAGCCAGCCCAGGCAGGAAAGTCTGTGAGACTCTTATCTCCATAAACCACTAGAAAACCAGAAGTGGCACTGTGGCTCAAGTGGTAGAGCGCTCCCCTTGAACTGAAGAGCTGAGGGCCCAGAACCGACAAAAAAAACCAAAAAACAAAAAACCTCCAGGTCTTAGCCTTCTGAAGAGCAAGAATTACAGGAGTGAGTCACTAGTATCAGCTCTGCTTCCTTTTTTTTTTTTTTGTCTGTCGTGAGGCTTGAACTCAGGTTCTAGGTGCTGTCCCTGAGCTCTTTGGCTCAAGGATAGCACTCTACCACTCTGAGCCATGATGCCACTTCTGGTTTTCGGATGGTTAATTGGGGATAAGAATCTCAGGGCCTTTCCTTCTCAGTCTGGATTTATATCACAATCCTCAGATCTCAGTAGTAGCTGGGATTTCAGGTGTGAGCCACTGGTGCCTGCCCAGACTTTGTTTTATGCAAAAATTGAGTAAAAGCAAAGTCCCAAAGAGTCAAACAAAGCTTATTCTCATCTGTGGAGCTATCTGGCCCTTAAAGGGAAGGCTGTGGAAGTAGAACTAGTCTTATGTTTCCAACTAGGAAATTGATGGAACTGGAATTAAAATCTGTATCCTGACTGCCTTATGTCTTTTTGTCTGTCGTGAGGCCTGGGTGCTATCCCTGGGCTCTTTTGCTCAGTGTTCTGCCACTTTGAACATCACTTTTGGTTTTTGAGTGTTAATTGGAGATGAGTCTCATGGGGACTTTGCTGCCTGGGCTGGCTTTGAACTGCAATCCTCAGATCTCAGCCTCCTGAGTAGTTAGGATTGGTGTGAGCCACCTGTACCCAGCTTGACTTTAAAAAATTTTTATTTTTATTTATTTATTTTTGTTGGTTGTGGGGCCTGAACTCTGGGCTTGGGCGCTGTCCTTTAGCTCTTCAGCTCAAGGCTAGCACTCTACCACTTGAGCCATAGAGCCACTTCTGGCTTTTTCTGCTTATGTGGTGCTGAGGAATCAAACCCAGGGCCTCATGCATGCAGGGCAAGCACTCTACCAACTGAGCCACCTTCCCAGCCCCTTTTTAAAAATTTATTGTTTATTTTTTAATTCATTTATTTTTATTTTTTTGTTGGTCGTGGGACTGAACTCTGGGCCTTGGTGTTGCCCTTCAGCTCTTCAGCTCAAGGCTATTGCCCTTCCTACCACTTGAGCCACAGCGTCACTTCTGGCTTTTTTCTGTTTACGTGGTGCTGTGGAATCAAACCCAGGGCCTCATGAATGTGAGACAAGCACTTTACCACTAAGCCACCTTCCCAGCTTTTTAAAATTTTTATAAAGGTAATATACAGAGTGGGTACAGTTACCTGGTTTCAGGTAAGGAGTACATTTTTTTTGTTTTGTTTTGTTTTTTTGGGTCCGGTCGTGGGGCCTGAACTCTGGGCCTGGGTGCTGTCCCTCAGCTCTTTACCTCAAGGCTAGAGCTCTACCACTTAAACCACAATGCAACTTCCAGCTTTTTTTTTCTGCTTATGTGGTTCTGCGGAATCGAACCCAGGGCCTTGTGCATGCAAGGCATGTCCTCTACCACTGAGCCACCTTCCCAGCCCTAACGAGTACATTTCTTTTGGACAATGTCACCTCTTCCCTCACTTTTCCCCATGTCATTTTTTTTTTCTTTTGTCAGTTATAGAGCTTAAACTCAGGGCCTGCGTGCTGTCCTTGAGGTCTTTCACCCAAGTCTAGCACTCAACCACTTTGAGCCACAGCGCCACTTCCAGTTTTCTGGTGGTTAATTAGAGTGAAGAATCTCATAGACTTTCCTGCCAGGGCTGGCTTTGAACTGTGATCTCAGATCTCAGCCTCCCGAATAGCTAGGATTACAAGATGTGAGCCACTGACGCTCAGCATGGCCCTGTGTCTTTAAGTCTCCACTCTGTACTGGAGATCGCAGGACCTTCCCAGAGGGAGTAGGGCTGGCTGCCTAGCAACAGGCCCTCCTGTCCCATAGCCCAATGTACAGGGGCCTTTATGTGACATCTTGCCCCTGTGGCATGCCAACTGAACCACAGTTGTCACCTGGCTCCATCTTCAACTAGCAAGTCTCTCAGGCTCTCTACTTAGTTTTCTCACCTACGAATTAGGATAGGAGTAGTTTCTTCCCGGAGAGTCAGTGTTTATGAGGATTCACCGAGACGGTGCCCTTGAGCCCATAAGGCCTTGGCACAAAGCCTGTCCCTTTCTCTCAGTTGGAGGGACCTTTGGTCCACAGCTTTGGGCCTAGCAGTGTGGCTTCGAAAGAAAGCCTCTCCTTAGTGGTCCTGCCCACGTGTCCTGCGCAGGTCAAGATGCAGAAAGGTGAGCGCCAGATGGCCAAAAGGTTCCTGGAGGAGCGGAAGGAGGAGCTGGAGGAGGTGGCCCACGAGCTAGCAGAGACGGAGCATGAGAACACGGTGTTGAGGCACAATATCGAGCGCATCAAGGAGGAAAAGGACTTCACCATGTAAGGCCCCTGCCTGGCCCCACAAGACTTGAGTCCTTGCCCTGGCTCCCAAGCTCTGGGAAGGGAAGGAAAGCTCTAGGAGGCCCCGTCACCCTGTGATTCATGGGGGATCTCATGGAGATGGGGTGCATGGTAGGAAGGGACTTTCTTCAGAAAGAAACATTGAGAGAAGTCCTGCCAGATGAAGTTAGGCGAGTGAGTCTCCTGTGGGAAGGCCCTGGGGTACGTGGCTTTGCTTCAGAACAGTGGAAAGTGACAGGAAGTTGGTGCTTATCAGCCACGGTGGTGTTTGGGAACATGTTTTATTTTTGTGGTGGTGGTAGTTGGGGGACCCAGAATCTTGTGTATGCTATGTAAATAATGTGTGTCTGAGCTCTACCGAGGCCTGATTAGGGGCACTTTAAAGGGAAGGAAGGGATTTAAAAATGGGAAAGTAGCGTGACCCAGGCAGGCTTGGCTGTGGGTATAGAGGGGCAGCAGATCTAAAGAGAAGAATGAGGAGGCCATGTTAGTGGGGAGGGGGGACACTGGCAACTGTCTTAAGCAGGGACACAGGCAGCATTATGTCTTCTGGTATGGAGGCTGTGTTCTGATGTCCAAGCAGATATAACTTATGGCCATCATCCTTCTAGAAGACGACTGGGTCCAGACGACTGAGCCCGGATAGGCCTCCCCCGCCCATCTCCCCATTGTTCCCTGGTAGGAGGGAGACTGGTAGGGCATTGTGAGGCGGGTATCAGAGCTCTAAGTAGACAGAGCCCGAGAGGGCTCACGGAGCCCTGTTCTTTCTGGCCCCAGGCTTCAGAAGAAACACCTCCAGCAGGAGAAGGAGTGCCTCATGTCCAAGCTGGTAGAGGCTGAAATGGATGGGGCTGCTGCTGCTAAACAAGTAATGGCCTTGAAAGATACCATCGGCAAGTTAAAAACTGTAAGTGGAGGCTGGGCTGGGCGGGTGGGGTCTGGGGGCTTTACGAAGTCATCAGGCTGACTTTATGACATCTTTAGGCTGGGGGAGGGCACACTCACTCCTGTGTCCCCACCCCCCACTCTCACTTCCTGGGCCTTGACCCTCGAAGATGACCTCTGGTAGCCAGGGCATGTGATGAGACCTAATCATGGGTCGTCTGGGATCACAGTGAGTCAAGGCATGTGGTTGATTCGAGCCACCAGGAGTCACCGTCTATCCTCGCCTCTTCCAGGAAGCCTGCCCTTGACTCTGTTGGCCCAGCTCTTTCAGCCTAGGCTTCCTGGCATCAGTGCCTCCCGAGTTCTTCTTGGTTTCCTGTTCTGTGTAAGACGTGCTTATCTTCCAGGAGAAACAAATGACCTGCACGGACATCAACACCCTTACGAGGCAGAAGGAACTTCTCCTGCAGAAGTTGAGCACCTTTGAGGAGACCAATCGTACCCTCCGAGACCTGCTGAGGGAACAACACTGCAAAGAGGTGAACACCGGCTCCAGGCCCTCTACTCTGCCTGTTGGTTCTATTGGGGTCTGGCCTGAGGAGCTATGAGTCTATGTTTATGTCCCTCATTGAAGCCAGGCCAGATAGCTGCGGGAGCAGTGGGGAGTCAGGAAGTGGATAGGGGCTCAGCCTGTATAGGGAAGAGGGAGGTGCACAGAACCTGCCAGCTGCTTTTTGTTTGTTTGTTTTTTGTCCTGGGGCTTGAACTCAGGGCCTGAGCAATGAGCTGCTTTTTGCTCAAGACTAGTACTCTATCACTTAAGTCACAGCACCACTTCTGGCTTTTTCTGTTTATGTGGTACTGAGGAATTGAACTGAGGGCTTCATGCATGCGAGGCAAGCACTCTACCACTAAGCTATATTCTTAGCCCCCTTTCTGCTTTTCGATATTTGCTCTGTAGCCCACATTATCCTCAAGCTTACTCTGCAGCCCCAGGCTAGCCTTGAACACCTTTTCCTCCTCCTCCAGCCTCTCAGGCGCTAGGTTTATAATTATGTACCACCAAGCATGGTGGTATAATTGTGTACCACCATGCCTTGGCTCAGAGCTGTGTTTCTTGTTAGGCAGAAGAATGAATAATGGCTGGTGACTACCAGTTCATTGATCACACTTTATTTTCTAAAGCCAGGCACTTATCTCAAAATAAAAGTTTTAAAAAGGGTGGGTGTGTGGACCAGTAACAGATCCCTACCTAGCATGCACAAGACCTTGAGTTTATTATTTATTTTTTGCTGGTTCTGGGGCTTGAATTCGGGACCCTGAGCTGCTTTTGCTCAAGGCTAGCCCTCTATCACTTGAGCTGCAGCACCACTTCTGACTTTTTCTGAGTAGTTCTTATTGGAAGTATGATAAGAGTATCATGGGCTTTCTTGAAAGCTCAGGGTTGGCTTCAAACTGTGATCCTCAGATACCAGCCTCCGGAGCAGCTAGGATTACAGGCGTGAGCCACCTGCACCAGGCAAGACCTTGAAGTTTAAAGTTTTTTTTTGTTTTTTGTTTTGGGTCAGTTGTGGGGCCTGAACTCTGGGCCTGGGCACTGTCCCTCAGCTCTTCCAGCTCAAGGCTAGCGCTCTACCACTTGAGCCATACTACCACTTCCGGCTTTTTCTGCATATATGGTGCTGAGGAATTAAACCCGGGGCCTCATGCATGCTAGACAAGCACTTTACAAACACTTTGCCACCTTCCTTTTTTTTTTTTTTCTTTCTTTTTTTTTTTTTTCATGTTCTTTGAAACACCTTTATGTTAGCAAAATATTTTTTCTTTTCTCTGATACCAGGGTTTAAACTCAAGGGGTTGAGTTCACACAGCTTGCTTATTTGCTGGGCTGGTACTTCAGTCACTGGCTGGCCCTTAACTACTTTACCCACCAACTTTTTTTTGCCAGTCCTGGGGCTTGAACTCAGGGCCTGCGTTCTCTCTGCTCAAGACTAGTACTGTACCACTTGTGTCACAGCACCACCTCCAGCTTTTTCTGTTTATGTGGTACTAAGGTATCGATCCCAGGGCTTCATACATTTGAGGCAAGCACTCTTCCACTAAGCCACATTCCCAGCCCCTGTAACTGCACCCCAAGTTTTTAACCTACTAATTGGCGATGGAGTGTTGAAATCTTTGTTGCCCAGGTTCTCAGTTCTCATACTAGGCAGATTGTCCTACCTCCTTTTATTGTGTGTGTGTGTGTGTGTGTGTATGTATTGGGTGTGTGTTGGGTGACTGTTGGGTGCATCTTGGGGCTTGAACTCATGGCCTGGGCACTGTTACTGAGTCTTTGTGCTCAAGGCTATTGTTCTGCCACTTGTGCCACAGCTCCACTTCCCAGATTTAGGTGGTTAATTGGAGAAGTATCTTAAGGAGTTTCCTGCCCAGGCTGGCTTTGAACCACTGATCTCAGATCTCAGCCTGCTGAGTGCCTAGGATTATAGGTGGAAGCCACTATTGCCTGGACCTATTTCTTTTTCTTTTCTTTTTTTTGTCAGTTGTAGGGCTTAAACTCCAGGCCTGGGCGTTGTCCTTCAGCTCAAGGCAAGTGCTCTACCACTTGAGCCACAGAGCCACTTCCAGTTTTCTGGTGGTTTATTGGAGATAAGAGTGTCATAGAAGGGGCTGGGAAGGTGGCTCAGTGGTAGAGTGCTTGCCTTGCATGCATGAGGCCCTGGGTTCGATTCCTCAACACCACATAAGCAAAAAGAAAAAATCCAGAAGTGGTGCTATGGCTCAAGTGGTAGAGCGCTAGCCTTGAGCTGAAGAGCTGAGGGACAGCGCCCAGGCCCAGAGTTCAGGCCCCATGACCGGACCCCAAAAAAAAAAGTGTCATAGAAGCCGGGCACTGGTGGCTCACGTCTATAATCCTAGCTCCTCAGGAGGCTGAGATCTGAGAATCACGGTTCAAAGCAAGCCAGGGCAAAGTCCATGAGACTCTTAATCTCCAATAAATCACTAGAAAACCGGAAGTGGCACTGTGGCTCTAGCGGTAGAGTGCTTGCCTTGTGCTGAAGAGCACAAGGACAGCGCCCAAGCCCAGAGTTCAAGTCCCATGACATAGTTTCTTGATCAACATGGAGCTTCCTGATTGGGCTGGCTTTGAACTGCAATCTTCAGATCTCAGCCTCTTGAATAGCTAGGATTACAGGTGTGAGCCACTGGTGCCTGGACTCATTTTTTTTGTGTATTCATTTTTGCATTGATGTGTTTGAATCCCAGGAATTATGCATGTTATGCAAGTGTTCTACCAACAAGATATATTCCCAAGCATTTTATTTTTACAATTAACAATCAGTATGTCACCATTTTGTACAAACTACATTTTTTTTTGAGACTCACTAGAGCCAATGCTGATCGTTTATACTTCTAATCTTAGCTACTCAGGAGAACTGAGGTCTAAGGATCCAGTTCAAAGCCAGCCACAGCAGACAAATTCAAGAGACTCCCAGTTAACTAGCAAAAAGCTAGAAGTGGAAGTATGGTTCAAATGTAGTACCAAAAAAGAAAAGACAAAAAATAAAGTTTAAAGAAAAAAAGCATCTCTCTGCAGGCCAGGCTGTCCTGCAACTCATATGGTAGCTCAAGCATGCAGATATAATTCTCCTGTATGAGCCTCCTCCTACCACACCAAAGGTGCCTATCTAACAAGTCCCAGCCCTTTTGTTTGTTTGTTTGTTGTTTTGCCAGTCCTGGAGCTTGAACTTAGGGCTGGGCATTGTCCCTGAGCTGCTTTTTGCTTAAGGCTAGTACTCTACCACTTCCAGCTTTTTCTGTTTTTGTGGTACTGAGGAATGGAACCTAGGGCTTCATACATGCTAGGCAAGTACTCTACCACTAAGCCACATTCCCAGCCCTATGTTTCGTTTTTTAAGGTGTCTCACTAACTTTGTCATGCTGGCCTTGAATTCAGAATCCTCTGGCTTAAAATGACATTTTCTTGGTTTTGACTTTTTTTTTTCTGGTCGTGGGGATTGAACTCTGGGCTTGGGCCCTGTTCCTGAGCTTTTTGCTCAAGGCTACTGCTCTACTACTTGAATCACAGTGCCATTTCCTGCTTTACTAAGTAGCTCATTGGAGATAAGAGTCTATCAGACTTTTGTGCCTGGACTGGCTTTGAAACATGGTCTTCAGATCTTAGCCTCAGCCATTAGCACCTAGCTCTCTTTTGGCCTTAGTTTGTATTTTATTTTACTTTTTGTGGAGATTGAACCCAGAAACTTAGGCTTGTTGCTGGGCAAGTATTCTACTACTTAAGCTATGTCCCAGGGCTTTAGTTTTTTGTTTTTTTTTTAACCAGTCCTGTGGCTTGAACTCAGGGTCAGAGTGCTGTTCCTGAGCTTCTTTTGCCCAAGGCTACTGCTCTGCCACTTAAGTTACAGCTATACTTCTGGTTTTGGTGATTAATGGGAGGAGAGTCTCATAAACTTTCCTGTCTAGGCTGGCTTAAAACCAGGCTCCTTAAATCTTGGCCTCCTAAGTAGCTAGGATTACAGGTGTGTGCCACCAGTGCCTGGCTCTTTATCTCCTCTTGTTGCTGGAGAAGCTTATTGATGTCCTCTGTCAGTTCCTAGGTAACCAGGAAACTGAGAGCCAAATAGCCCTTTACTCTTGGCTTATGAAGGGGACCTGTGGGACTGAGAGCAAGAAGAGGATGGGCTTCCTTCAAGGGATTTAGGTGCCAGGGAAGAAGAATCAGAACAGGCATAGAGTTCCTACCCAGAGATGAAAATGGGCATGGGGAGAGAAGAGACTTATCTCCAGTTAACCACCAAAAAGATGAAAATGGAGCTGTGGCTCAATTGGTAGACTGTTAGCCTTGAGTTAGAAAAGGTTAGGGATAGTGTCTAGGCCCTGGGTTCAAGCCCTTAAGCCTTCCCTGCTCCCCACCCAAAGTTTCAAGTAGTCTTATTAACTGTAGTTACCGTGCTATAAATTTTAAGTGGTTCAGTCATATATAATCTAAATTTGTATCTCAATAATGCTGTCTTTAAACATCAAGTTGTCTCAGAAGGCAACGTTTGGGAGGATTTTAGATCAAGGCCAGCCTAGGCAAAAAGTTAGCTAGAGGGGCTGGGAAGGTGGCTCAGTGGTAGAGTGCTTTCCTTGCATGTCTGAGGCCCTGGGTTCGATTCCTCAGCACCACATAAGCAAAAAGAAAAAAGCCAGAAGTGGCACTGTGGCTCAAGTGGTAGAGCGCTA